GCCTTGATGTTCCTGGGGAGCGGGTACGACGAGGTCTCACCCGTGGGAGAACTCACCTTGACTGTGGAGAAGGCCTCCCGCTCCACCAGGCTCTCCCGGGACAGTGCCAGGCTGCACGACGCTGGCATCTACTACTGTGGTGTGAGGGACACAGTGACTGAGGCGGAGGCACCAGCTGCACAAAAAAACCCCAGCCCCAACTTCCTGACGCCACCTGCTTCCAAGGGATGTGCCTGTCTTGCCTTGGCCAAAAGTAGGGGTTGCAAACAACCCAGAGAGTGCACAGCAGAGCAGGATGCCTTTGACACCCTGGATTCCCATCAAGCCTCTGTTTCGTCCTGTGAATAATGTTCACCATCAAACAGGGGTAACACAGGGGTGCGTCCTGAAAGCATTTCCAGGCACCCAGGGTGCTGCAACTCCCTGCTCTGTTGGGACTTATATCCAAAGGACATTTCAAAGCAAGGTGCATTGGCCATGTCCAGTCTCTCCCCAGGTCTAACTCCTGCCCAGGTTCTCCCCTGTTCCCCACATGCTCCCTTCCCTCTGGATCTAGGAGCCACCCGACTGCAGCTCTCTCTCCAGAGACTGCAGGAAGTGCTGACCCCTCCATGGCTGTCCCCTGCCACCTTTGTGCCCCTGCAAACAATGCTGGTTGGGGAAGGGCCTGCGGACAGAGAGAGGGGGTCACCCAGCCCTTGGCACTCAAGTGCTTGATCCTCAATCTGTGAACACGGTACAGGGAAATGATGACCCTCTGGACATGCATAGCAATGCGGGTGTGCAGTGAAAGAATGCATACAGCTGCTATGACAAACCAGGTAGCTGAAGCAGGGTCACACTGGGCTGAATAAGATCAGGGGACTACCAATGCCTGGCTATGGACAAGGCCTCCCACTCCACCAGGCTCTCCTGGGATGGCGCCAGGCTGCATGATGCTGGAGTCCGCTATTGCGCTACAGATGACACAGTGACAGGGGCACAAGAACAGCTGCACAACCCCCCCAGCCCAACTTCCTGCTGCCACATCCTCCTGGGGAACATGCCTTTGGTTCTCCCCCTACGTGGTCACTCCTCCCCACCTCCGGTGGCACCGTGGCTCCTCCCAAAGGCATTATCCAGCCCTAGCTTCCCCGACTCCAACGTGTCCCCAGCAGCTTGCAAAGGGAGAGGGTGACTGGGCTCAGGCTGCACCCTCAAGAGAAATGTCTCTCAACTATGACAGGCTCCAGGACCCCTTGGAAAATGCCGCCTTTGAGCCAGAGCAATTCTCGCGTGGCGAGGAATGGAGAAGAGCATAGCAGGGTGGGATGTTTTTGACACCAATTCCAACTGGAAACTCTGAGTTTGACTTGTGGGTCATTGTTGTGCACGTAAGAGTGCTGCCCTTGTGTTGCACCCCTGAATGAAGCTCAAGGCACCCTGGGTGCTGGGGCACCCTTGTTGGGAACCACCGCTTTGGAGAGACTTGAACGCACTGGCCCTGCCGATGTGACGCATGTGGGCCACATCTAGTCCCAGCTGGGTCTCCCCTGCTCCCTTCCCTCGGGGCTCAAGGCCCATCCCACTGCAGCCCTGTGCCAAGAGACCCCAGGGAGTGTTGCCCTCTCTGTGACTTTCCTCTGCAAACTTCGTACCCCATAAACACCACAGGTTTGGAAAGAAGGGTCTGCAGTCACAGAGAGTGGGTCATCCTGCCCTTTACATTTGAACACTTGACCCACAAGCAATGAAGACGGTATGTGGAGCCCACAACCTTCTGTTGGTGCATAGCAGTGAGGGTGTGCAATGAAGAAATGCACACAGCACCATGACAGAACATGTAGCTCAAGCAGCATGCCTGGCTGCATGAGATTGGGACAGCAAGCTGGCCTGTGTCCCCAGGATAGCAGGGACTGGATCTCTGGAGTGATGTCGGGAGCACCCCAGCAGGGGAGACATGCCCTAGTAAGCAGGGGAGGGTGAGGAGCCTCCCCAAGTCCCCAACCTGCCCTGGGGGAAACACGTTCCTGACCCGCAGCATGTGAACATGGTGCCCCAGCCAGGGACCTGGCGCCTCCCTGTCTTCTCAGGGCACTGCCAGGCCCTCTGTCCAGTGTGGAGCTCAGCGGTGCAGAGGAAGGGAACCCCAGCCCACTATACCCCATTGCCCCGCAGCCCAAAGCTGCCTGAGGGACTAGACCCTCCCTGACGCCTGCAGGAGACTTGTGGGGACAGAAAGGAAGTCTCATCACTGGAGGAACAGAAGCTGACTGGCAAGTGACAGACAGACAGAGAGACGGGCAGGCTGGCAGCTCACGACAGACACAGCCAGTGCGCAGGGAAGCCCCGTTCTCTGGCATAGCTGAGGAAGTGGACACACAGACCTGAGAGACTGCAGGAGAGCAGGAGCCAAGCCCTGGCCTCACCATGCAGGGTCTCTGCAGCCTCGTCCTCCTCTGCGGTGAGTAGGATTCACCAGCTGCGCTGCCCTGCTCCAGGGGGATGGTTTTCTCTGCCTCACTCTCTGCTTCTCCCCCCCCAGGGGCAGTGAGATGGGCCCTGGCACAGGTCTTCCAGCCGCCCCAGGTCACGGCGCTGGAAGGAGGACGGCTCCACATCCCCTGCAACCAGAACATCACCCCACACAATACAATGTACTGGTACCGGCAGCCCCAACAGGGCCAGGGGGCCCTGATCTCCCTGGGGAGTGGGTACAGTGGGGCTTCACCTGCAGGGGAACTCACCCTGACTGTGGACCAGGCTTCCCGCTCCACCAATCTCTCCTCGGACGGAGCCAGGCTGCAGGATGCCGGTATCTACTACTGTGCTGTGAGAGACACAGTAAGAAAGGCAGAAGCACCAGCTGCACAGAAACCCACAGACTGACTTCCTGCAGACTTTGTCTTCCTTGCCATGGCTGGCGCTGGGCTGTCTTATACCATTTGGGCACCACCCAGCTCTGGAGGAGCTCACAGGGATTGGCACTAGGAGCTCACCTGGCCCACGTGCTCTCACAATCATGGTTCGTGTCCACCTCCCTTCCAGGTGGACATTTCTATGCTGCAGCTCAGCCCAGGCTCTGCAGCCAGGTAGGTAATTGCAGGTGGTGGGGATCCAAGGACTGCAGGCACTCCCCAGTCCTCACAGGCTGGGATGCTCTCAGGAGCTGACAAGAGCCTGACAACTCCTCATAGCTCCAGCCTCTCTGCTCTGCCTGGCACAAATCCCTGCTGCCCGCTGCTTTCTTCCAGGGGCCCGTCACTGCCTCCTGCCACAACGCTGTGTGCAGTAGTAGGTATGCTGGAGGGCAGGGCTGGGATTCAGAGGGACCTCGACAAGCTGGAGGGCTGGACCAAAAGAAATCTCATGAGGTTCAACCAGGACAAGTTTAAAGTCCTGCACCTAGGATGAAAGTATCCCATGCACCTGTAAAACCTGGGGACCAACAGGCTAAGCAGCTGCTCTGCAGAAAAGGACTTGGGGGTTACAGTGGATGATAAACTGAATAGGAGCCAACAGTGTGCTCTCATTGCCCAGAAGGCTAATAGCATACTGAGCTGCATTACCAGGAGCACTGCCGGTAGATAAAGTGTTCCCCTGTTTGGCTCTGGTGACACCAGATCTGGAGTCTTGTATTCAGTTTTGGGCTCCCCACCACAGAAATGAGGGGCCCAGACATTTCTGGGGAGCGGGCACAATGAGGGGAACTCACCTGCAGGGGAACTCACCTTGGCTGCAGGACAAGGCCTCCCGCTCCGACAGTCTCTCCCAGGTCGGTGCCAGGCTGCACGACGCAGGTGTCTACTACTGCATTGTGGAAACTCAGTGATGGGGTTGGAGGCACCAGCTGCATAGAAACCCCCAACCCGACTTCCTGCTGCCACCTGCTGGGGTTGTTACACCTTGTAGGTCCTTCCTGGGTCAGGAGGAGCTCACAGGGGTTGGCACCAGCAGCTGACCTGGCCCAGGTGCTCTCACAGTCATGGTAAGCATTTGTGTGCCACAGCTCAGCCCAGGCCCTGCAGCTAGGCAGGCAATTGCAGGCAGTGGGGATCCCACGTCTGCAGGATCTCCCCATGCCTCTAAGTCTGGGATGCTCCCAGGAGCTGACAAAAGCCTGATGACTTCTCCCCACAGCACCAGCTGCCCTGCTTTGACTGATGGAAATCTCTGCTGCTTTCCTTGCCTACTGTGGCCACCAATGTCCTCTGATGCTTGGATAGCAGGGACTCTCCCCTGAGCTCAGTGCTGAACACGCTGTGGTCTCATCTCCCTCCCACCCCCTGGGCATGGGCAAATGCCGGGGATACGTGTGACATGGAGCAAGACACAGAGTGCAGGAGCATGGTGCACCCTGGTGTCAGGGCAGGTTGCTTTGATGCACCAAAGTGTGGAGGAGACATAAGGGCCAAGTCCTATTACTTCCATGCAGTTAAACACCAGTCCTACAACCAGGCAAGGGGCATTTCTGACACTCAAACACAGCTCACCCATGCATGGTGGATACAGTGTGCAGGCTCCTGCATGGGCTCAGTGGGCGGCTCCCTGCATGAGTGGGCAGGTGGCCGCATACAAACAGCCATGCCCAGAGGAGGCATCAACCCTGTATGTTCCTGGGATGGCGGGGACTGGATGTGGAGAGAGATGCCCTGGGCACCCCAGCAGCAGAGCCCCGGCTTAAAGTGCTGGGAAGGGTAAGGAGTCCCCCTCAGGCCCTGCCAGCCTGCCCTGGGGGAAACACCTTCCTGACCTGCAGCATGTGAACAAGGTGCCACAGCCAGGCACTGGGCTAGCTCAGAGCATCCCCTAGCCCCTCCTCATCCTGTCTGCAGCTCCGGTGTTGAGGAGGAAGAGGACCCTCCCCACACCCTGCCTCCACCCCAGGCACCTGCAGCCCAGGGCTGCCTCAGAGCCCAGACCCCTCCCCGAAGGGTGCAGGGGCTCGTGGAGGGACACGGGAGGTCTGAACACTGGGGGAACAGGAGCCGACTGGCAGGTGATAGACAGACAGACAGAGAAGGAGCTCACTACAGGGACAGCGAGAGGGCAGGAAGCCCAGTGCCTCTTGGACGGCTGAGGAGGTGGAC